GTATTTTCTTGGCAATATCTAATCTCTATCAAAGTCAGCTATTGGATTACTTTGACTTTCACTCTGCTTACTTTAAAAAAAATTTTTTTTTCTTAGAATTAAAACAACCTGAAATTTGCAAACCAAAGTGTTAATTGCTTCCTGTTAAGTTTTGCTTTGATTCTTCCAGCAACCATTTCCTGATTGCTAGCATTTCATTGCTGTTAATATCCTTGCTAGTAAAGGGAAGAAAAGCCTGCAACAAAAAACTTGATTTGTAAAGGAGTAAACTTGATTTTGGAAAGTGTTAGGGTCTCCTCTTTTCCCAGGCAGTTCACTCAGAGAAAGAAGGTAAATGAATTAATCACCTATAACAAATTATCATTTGGTGCTGCTTGCACAGGTAAAACTTTGCCCAGTTCTTACAGATAATGTAAGCTGTTTTATAATCTCACCAAATTGCTAAGTACTTTTATAGATCAAAATCAAATAATTAATTATATTTAATAAATGGTCTTTATCTTGTACTATGAAGTTTCTATTTTGTTTTATAAACGGAATCTGAGGTAAATTATTATTATATGCTATACTGCTGGGTTGTTGTTGTTGGTCACTAGATCTTCGTTTTCTTCATTCCTTGACAATTTCCCAGCCTGTCTTGCAATCCCTCACTCCTTTTCCCACCCAACAGCAGCCATTTATCTGCCTGCTGGGAAGGGAAGAAGGAACTCCTATGCGTCCTTCCTGGCCCATGCCACCTCCCCACGACCTGTGCCCCTCTCCACTTGCCTTCCCTAACCCATGCAGCACCCAGTACACACCTCACACATCTTCCATGACTCTTGTGGCTCATTTTGGGTACCCCACTGTGTGCCTTCTCAATTCGCACTGTCCCCCAAATGTCATCCCTCGCTCTGCAATGTTTTTTGCATATCCCTGCACACCTTCTCCAACCTGCCTCCCCTCAAGCACCTTCCCTGACCCATGCAGCACCTCTTGGGCACCTCCATGACCCTTTCTGATCCATGCTACCCCTGTGTGCTTTCCCTCACTCCATAGCACCCCAGGCACCCAATCCCAACTCATCCCGACCCCTCTGATGACTCTTGGGCCCCCACATGCATTTCACCCTGTGCCGTCCTCAGGCAGTCTGATTGCAAAGCACCTCTTGCTCACTCCCAAGCATGCTTCTCAACCACTTCCCCTATAGGCCATCCCCAACAGATACAGTACCGCCCCCACACACAGACCTTCATGCCCCCATCTTGACCTATTTCTCCATGTAGCCAACATGATCCACAGAGCACCTTTCACGTGCCCCCTAGCAATAGCACTTAGACTTATATACCATTTCACAGTGCTTTTACAACCCTCTAAGTGATTTACCAGTCAGCATATTGCCCCCAACAATCTGGGCCCTCTAACACCTTTCACGATCTATGCTATTCACCTCTCTGCTCTTCCCAAATTGCATGCCATCTCTGGCAAACTTCCTTCACATCCTTCCCAACCCATGCAGTAATACCTCTTGCATACTCCCACATTTCTAAATACACCCCTCACTTCCTCCATCAGGCTTAGAATGGGCTGAAATCTGATAATCAGCATGATATGGTTAAATAATAAATAGCAAGTGAAAGTGAAGGCATTCTGATTATGCACAAAAGCATGAAAAAATAAAATTATCCTGCAATTTATGGTCTCAAAGCACAGCAGATGTTGGATGTTGGCATGAACTGCCAGTTGAAGCTTATCACAGTATTGACAAAAAGAACATTGTTTCCCATTATATTTGAACTGATGTCACTAGCATTAATTTTATTTACAGTGGTTGAGAGCTTTATCTTCTGCTGATTCATAATTTTAGTAAAAGTTAAGAGGAGCCATATTTTTTAAATGGCATACTTCAGAAAAAAATGCTACACTTGAGTGGCATTACCAGCATCTGGGGAGACAAGGGGACAAATGTATATCATGAGATCGGCCTGCATATTATGCAATTTATGTATAAGTGTTGGACTTCATGATATAAGTACATACGCACCATTTTCATCATAACGTGCATCATCATCATCATAGCCATGGTGGTATAATTAGAATGCTGTACTGCAGGCTACTTCTGCTGACTGTCAGCTGCACAGCAGTTTGATCCTGACTGGTGCAAGGTTAAGTCAACCTTCCATCCTCCCAAGGTCGGTAAAATAGAACCCAGATTGTTGGGGGCAATATGTTGACAATGTAAACCGCTTAGAGTTCTAAAGCACTGTGAAAGCAGTATTTTTGTCTAACTGCTATTGCTATTGTGACATTGCTATGACTTGTTAGAGATTCTGAGTGCCAAGCTGAACCACGAACAAACCCTTCACTTCAAAACCAATCCTTTTAAAATTCTGAAATCCAATTAAAATTCTTTTAAAAGAATGCAGTATTAAAAAGCATTATCTTGATTTTTGAGATACATTAGACTAGATTGCAAAAGTTTATAAAATCCTTATACCCTCATAATTAAAGCATTTTTTAAAGCTCTTAGAGAGGCAAGTGAAGATAAGTTCCATTATAATGGGCTGCTGAAACTAACAGATGAACTACAGTATTGACAATTCACCCAAAATAAAATATTTTGATATACTTGTGATTTAAAAAGAGAAGTCATTATTTGCTCAGAGTAGAAATTAGAGATCAACAAAAATGGCAGATGCCCAGACAACCTGGCCAATTTGTTACTTAATATCTACTTAATTATGTAATAACTATGGCATGTAATACATTACAGTATAAAATGTGCCATTTTGCCATTTTTCTATGTAAAAAGGTTCGATAAACAAATAAACACTCTGATATTGTCATCTTGATGGTAACTGTGATTAAGATTAGGAAATGTCCAAAGAATAATGGTTCCAGATTAATTTATGCAAATTTCCATGGATTCAATTCAAAATGGGGGGAAATTGTAAGCTATCTTTTAATTATAGTTTAAATTTCAGTATAGAAAGTTTATGGAACAAAGGATTGAATCACTAGAGTTCTAGTAAATGCAAGATAGTTCTTTAATCAGGTAATAAGAAAGTAACTCCTGGACACATCAATTTGCATCAAACTTAATGTAACTATGCAGTGAAAATGCATAATTTGTATAACTTGTTGTTAAGATGTTTCTACAATTTCAAACTTTCAAAGGATATTTCTAGCTGTTCAGAACTGCTGAGTATCCCTGTAATTCCAAATAAAGTGTGACTGCAATGAAAGTAATCAACAACATATTTTATAAACATTTTATTGGTTTAATAGTGTACACAGTACTTACAGTTGTATCTATTAAAGACAAAATACACTTCAAAATGCAGAATAAAAAATTATAAACTTTTGAACTATATACAAACTTTGCGTTACAATTTCACAAATATCAATGCCCCAGCTCCATTCACAACCAAAAATAAAAGAAAAATAAAAGAAGTTTTTTTACATGCAAAATTTTGGAAAAAGCATCACTTGGGGGTTACCTATTCCCTCCCTAACTATCAAGCCACTTTATATAGGCTCAACATTCCAGTGCTTTCTAATTCAAAAGAATTCACACATTCCTTAAACCATATTACATCTTTATCCTTAAATCTACTTCCAATTAAGCATTTCACGGTCTCTCTTTTCACTTCTAATTAAAAATTTGCATTTGGTATTATTTCTACTTTTAATTTTTGCTTAAGAACAAAACATTTTGCATCATCTTATAGTTTGAGATTCCCAAGATTAAAAAATAGTTTGAAATAAATTTGTCTTACACATGAAATCTAAGCCATTGGAATAATAGATTCTATCAGGTAATTACACCATTACAGAAAAAAACTAACTATAGAAATGTTCTAAAGACTAAAAATTAAATAGGTTTCTGTTTCATCTACATACAGGTATCACAAAGACCAATTTTATTTCTAATAAATGTAAAGGTTGCAATGGCTAGATAGTTTTAAGTTGCAAATGTATTGTTATATTTTAAATATACATAAGAATTAGAAGAACCTTGATCCTCTTAATACCCCAATATGCAATATTAAAATGACAGCTGAAAAGAGGAATTTATGGGAAGAAAAATCCCTAATCCAAACAATACAGTATCTTCCCCTCACTCAGCATTATTTCAAAATGCATCAGTGCTTTTAATATTTACAGCAATCTCCCAAACCTTGATGTTCTATAGATATTTTGGGATCAATCCCAAGAATTCCAGAAAGCATACGCTTTGGGAATTGCCAATGGGAATTGTAGGAGCGATGGAAGATACAAGATGTAGGAAGGCCAATATACAGCAATAGTAGAAAAGAAAATCCATTCCCCACCCAACAAAGCATTCATTGTTCCTTCACAAATACCATCACTTAAATACCAATCAGATATTTGTTATTTAAAACAGTGAAGAGAAATGCTACATGCTGAAGCAGTCAGCTGAAAAACAAGGCGATAATCAAATACCCAGTATACTGAAAATAAAAAGGAAAAACCAGAAAGACTGAAGGAAGCACATTTATAAATACACAAGATATAACACAGACTTAAACAGGACTTTACAGATACCAAATGAAACAAACCCCTTTGTTGCCAAGAGCTTAAGTTAGAGCACTGAACTGCATGTGACCAGCAACTGCTTAAAATTCGGTCCACAACCAAGTTGAAATTTGTTAAAACTAATTCTAAAGGTTTACCAACCTGTTAAATATCAGTTGTTTGATTTTTTTCATAACAATAATTTGCATTTACACACTCTCTCTTCATCCCTTTTGAATTCGCTTCTGTTTCAAGTAAAAAAGGAATTTTGTGAAGGCAGATTTCTCCAAGCTACAACAAAATTTAAGTGAGGACCAATGTCTACTTTTTCCAGGAAGGAACCACTTCTTCCAAAATCACAAGACCCCTTTTAAAAATGTATTGGTCAATTTTGTATGCAGCACGTGTGTCAAACTCACTGCTGTTTTTCATAACAGACCAACTTCAGTATTCCTCCATTCTCAGAGTTGCTGAGAATGGTTTTGCAGTTTTGTATAAGAATAAAACGTAAAACTGTTACAGACAGGACCAAGGGGAAGAAAAAGCTATTCACAAGAAGAAATAATAAATTTTGAATTGTTAGATTTACAAAGTGCATTATATGTAAAATTTGAAAGCGCGTTTATATTTTCATATCCAAAGCAGTCTGAACTTCGACTGGATATACAGAGTTCTGATTTTGTTACATGTATGATACGGTCCTTACATACTGTCTGATGTTCACAGTTCAGTACTGCATCTTATCCTTTGATCACAGAAAATCAATGGGTCCAGGCAAAGGACTAGTTTTCATAACTGGAAACATTCACAACCTGCATGACCAGTTTCTAGGGGAGCAAGTTAATTAACCTTAACTGTCAAAAGCACAATTCAGCTACAATACACTTTACTAGCCATAAAATCAGATACCCCCTCCCCCAATGGCCATTCCCTGAGATGAGATTAATTTTGTCCCATATAGATATATAATGGACAGTATTTCAAGGACAACTTTTGGCATCTTATCAAGATTTTATGAGAAATTATGCTTCAACAATATAAAGTTATGCTGCTAGAAAGTAATAACAATCCTAATAAAAAGCAGTGTCTGAGAGAGACCAAAAAAAAAATCACACTGAGAAAACAAAACATATCAGCTCTGGCTGTTTCAAACATTAGTATTTCTCTGTGGTTCAATCCCCATAATTTCCAAACGGTATAGCTGTCCTATAATAAGTCAGTTATTGCTATTGCTATCAAGCTGGGCCATTGTCCTGCCAAGAATATTAAAGGCCTCTTGAGCCAGACTTTCAATCCCCGGTCTGAGAAGGGTGAATGGACATCCATTAGTACCTCAGTTGATTGAATCCACTGCATTTAAAAGCTAAAACAAATGACTCACTGCAAGTGTATTATTTGTTCTGATAAAGAACAAAGTTGTAGCAAATTTTCCCATTCAGAAGTTGATTTGATAGAAAGGAGAGGGAACAATTGCAGAGACACGAGATGTTTGTCCAGATGTTTTGTTATTTAGTTGGTTGTTAGGATACTCTAATCATCTGTGTCATAGCTTCTTCGGTTGCCTGGCCAGAATCCTGTATATATATAAAAAAAGGTTTTGTAATGCTACTTCATAGTATCTAAACACAAACACATGTTATTTAAAGCAAGACATTATGTTGCTATAGTACAAATCAGGAATGACAGAAACTTGCTTCAAGGAGACTATCTGGAGAAGGATTTATTATACAGTTTCTACTTGGGATTTGGTACTCATACCAATACAGCTAGATCTTAGCTTACTATATAGGTAATACTATATATTTCAACATCTAGCAAGGTAGGATACAGTATTGTATATTTAAGGGATGGCCAATTGGCAGAATGTAGGCAGCATTTGTCTCCAACTCCCCAGGATAGATTCTGCTCCCCTTAAGATTTTTTTCCCTTAAGGTACTGTGATGTTTATATAAACAATATTATATACAGAGGTGACATCATGCTGCAATACATTTGTTTACCCAGCTGCAATGTCTGCAGCCTTGTCAATTAAGTATTGTAGAAGGGCAGGCTTGTACTTTACATTCTTGCACACAAGGCAGCATCCTTCAGTGGACAATTCTAATTTGCTTCTGAATTATGAAATACGAAAAAAGGCAACATCAGTGTTTGCAGAAAACTTGCAAAGAAGCTACGGTATCAGACTGAAGAATGGCTTATTATGAGGGTACATGTTTAAACTAAGGATCTTATTTCTCAAAAAAGAAGGTATTACTTGTTATTCTGAAAATATAATGAAAACAGCTTTTCAAGCAAAATAGGAAATGCAATATTTAATTTGCTTGAGTATGAAATCCAAAGTAACTAAAGCTCAATCTTCTGTACTTACAATCTTTCAGAGTATGAACAGAAATATCATAATTTTTCTAGATCATAAGATATAGTTTGAACAGTTATTTCAGAGAGTGATTGCTGATATCTTCTGACACTCCAAAGTCTGCTTAACACAATTAAACCCAATGAGCAGGGGACAAAATGTCCTATGGATGGAACAGTCACTTCCACATTTGCCACTCTTGAAGTTGAGGGTTAAGGAGAGGGGAGGAATTGAAGGCCCTGAAAAGATCAACGGGAAAACAGGCTGGCATGTAAGCCATACAAAGGAGAAAGAGAGACGGGGGTGAGATGCACTGCCCAACTCACCTTATTAAGATCTCTCTAGATTTGTTATGGGATTTCCAAGACTGTAAACTACCAAAATAGATTCAGCCAAACTCCTGAACCATAAAGTATTGGCTTCAGATGCAGGGAAAAAAACCTATTTGTTTAGGCCTGTCCTTATGTTTTAAGACCATCCAACCTCTCAAAGTTCAGAAACAAATAGTATTTATGATTCCTACTGCAAATTTTGAACTATGTAAATAAAAATAACAAATAAGCAGAATTACACCGTGAATAACAGAATTTTTAAGCTATTCTATAAAGCAAAGCAAAGCAGATCATCCTCACAAATAATGTTCGTCAGTTGCCCAAAAAATACCAGAGGTACTGTTTTTGAAACTGCCTATACTATAATGTACTAACAATATAAACTTTTATTTTTATTTAACAATTTAAACATATACAAGAAAATGAAAGTGTCCCTCCCACACAACTCACCTGGAGACAACTGTTTTCTGAGATGTATTACTTAAGTGTTCCATAGTTTTTTAATAACTGAACTAGATGAAAATGTCAAAGTGAACTAATTCTGCATGCTTTATAAAATGAGAAAAAAGTAACAAGAATTCAGAATTTATTTCTGGTTAATGCTAAAGTTGTAAATTGGAAGCACCTACCCATGAAGATCAACTTAACTAAGTAAATAAATTTCATTTACCTGCATGTGGGGACTATCTTTTTCTTTTGGAGAAAAGAAGCGTCCCCCTTCTCCTCGTTTTCTTGCCATAGCATGCCGATGTCGGGATTCATGAAGATATTTCTGTATATACAATTACAAAATTGTGGAGATGAAAGCACATCTTATGTAATGCTAGAACACATATCCATCCATTTTCATTAAGACAGGAACAGGAACAGAAAAGGCTGAAATAATGCTAAGGCTAAAAAGGAAAGGGAAAATCCTCAGTATCATCTCGAGACTTATGTAGGCTGCCTGTATAAGTAGATACACACAGATCCAGGACCTGGATTCTAGCTGGAGTAACTGCTAAATATTACTTAAACTAAGAATAAGACAGTATTTGGAGTGACATACAAGTTAACCTGGAATGCATAAAAGTGAAAAAATAAATGTGGGCATGTCTGTAGAGCTTTTCTTCCCTTCTTTCAGTATTTGACTATTAAGGCACTTTATCTAATTCTAATCCCTAGGCATCCCTTGGAGAACGAATGAAGAAGAGAACTGCTCAAAGATCTGAGAAAAAGAATGATGATCTTTGGTAAGTTATTTATTTGGCTAGAAAGATTAGAGGAGAAATAAAAAAAAGAATGGAAGGAATACAAAATAAATGGAAACTGTTACATGACTAATAATTTTGAGCTTTATCCTTTTAATGTTCAGAATCCATCTCTTTTTACTCATGGAGTCACTTTGTATTATGTAACTATCCTTTGTATAAAAACCAACCCTCCATATTAGCTCATATAATTAAAGGTGCAAAGACTGCTTCTTTATCCAGGATAACTGATTCATTTCTACATCTTGCTCATTTATTGAACTGTCAAGTCTGTATTTCTTAAGAGATAATCAAAATTTGTACCACTGTCCTAAACAAGGCATTAGTATTAAACGTGTTGAACTCCTGATGAAAGTACATTGTATTCCACATGTACAATCACATACATCCTCTCATCCTTCTGTGATCGGCTAACAACTTTTTCTGTAATTTTCATCTAAAATTTATTTTAACTTATTAAAGTGTATGCAATTTCTACGACAAAAGAAACATAGGCAATCTACTTCTAGTGACTTACCAAGAAAGACTTTGAAAACCAATAATCTTATTTCTATTCATTAAACAAAAAGGCAGCAGTTTATACTGTAAATATGGTATCCTTTTGAGTCCAACATGGTATGATGAACATGTTTCATTATAATGACTGGGAAAAGATTTTTTCAGATGGATGTTACTGGGCAATTGTAATGATATATAGCTATTCTGTGTCTCATGAATTGTAATAGCAACTGATAATCTCACCCTCCTCTCTTTAGGTATTTTTCCTTCTGCTTCTAACTTGGCTCTTGCTTGCCTTCTCTTCAAAATCCGGTGATACTGTTTTGCATTTACATACAGAGGTTCCTCCTCCAACATTTCAGCCCCAGGCAAAGGTATCCTTTGGATAGCTGGCACTGATCCAGCACCTGGCACCATCTACATCAAAACAGGGAAATGCACTGGTTAAACTCTTCCTTACCAAAAGGCATAGAAAGACAAAGTGGGAGTGGGAAATGAACACAACCAATTCCTAGAATTCAACCACTTCCTGAAAAAAATATTCTCAAAATTCTGCAGCAAATCTCATAGAAATTAAAAGTCTGTAGTTTGAATATTTCTATTACATCAACTATATTCCAAATATGCAAAATCAAAGCAAATTTCTTTAAAAATAAAAAAGTGAATGGATATCAAGTTAAAAAGGAATGATCTAATTCCGTGATGGTGAACCTATGCCATACGTGCCAGAAGTGGCATGCAGAGTCATCTCTCCGGATATGCCAGCTATCGCGCATTGCTCTTCCGGGTTCTGGTCTTCGTGTGTGTGGCAGTATCAGAAAGCGGAAGATCAGCTCCCAGACACACATGAGCATGCCGGCCAGTTGGTCTTCACATGCACATATGTGTTAGAAACAGAGGACCAAGTGGCCAGCATGCGTGCGTGAGCCAGGAAGCTGAGCTTCCTGTTTTAGGCATGCCCACGTGGTGCGCCAGGAAGCTGCTTGTCCTGTGGCTCATTAATGTTTCTGAGAAGGGGCTTTGCAATTATTCAAAAGTACTCATTCACATATATCACACATATATATATCACACATATATCACACTTTCCCATTATTGAGGTGGAAGGAAATTTCATTATTTGGTATACTCATGGTGTCAGGAACAGCTTGGCTAACTGGTGGGCCATAATTTGATAATTTTGGGTGCCAAAATGGACCTAAAATTGAGTTTGGCATATCCATTGATGCATTTAGCCACAAATACATGCCATGCTACTTTTCTAAAGTACAACATTTCTCATATATACTGACATATAAGTTCATCCACTGATAAGCCAAGCTTCAAATTTCTAACTAAATTACAATGAAAAATGTAGATTGGCGTTATCTGTGGATTGCACATTTTTAATGATATTTTGGTTAAAAATTTGAAGTCCAGCTTATCAGTGGATGAGCTAATATGGTACTTTCCTGTCCAATGATGGTACTACACATTTTGATTGTTTGTCCTGCTGGCAAAGTTCAGAAAAATTAGTGATTGTAAGTAACTTTGCTGGGAGAAAAGCCATTAGAAAAAAAGAGGCAATGTTCTTGGAGGGTTCAAAGTTTACCCATTTGTGATATACAATAATATAGAACAATAGAAGGGAGGAGTATAGAATACAATACGCACCATGACCATTCCACCAGAGTTAACCACATTTCCAGCAACAGGCAGAGTCACTGTTACTGTCCCTTGTCCACTGCTAGTTGTATTGGTGTTGGCTCCAGTCTGAACAATCTGTGCTCCAGCCAAACTGGCTGCTGGGATGGTGATCATGCCTGTAACAGGGACTGTAACTTTAAACAGAACAGAACAGATAAAAAATAACGAACAAATTTGTCCCATTTTAAACGTTATTCCCTCATTATGAGTCGTGTTTATGGATATTTTTTAAATATGATTTTTTTTACTGAGATCTAAAATGAATTATCCACATGCAAGTTAAGCATGCATTTCTAAACAAAGCTAAATCAATGTGAAATTCAAGATTTCTGCTAAGTACCTTATTATTAAGGCAATAAATGTTAAAATATAAGAGATAACTTACTTTTCACTTGTTGCTAATTAAACTGTATCAATCCCGCAAAGGTATAATACTAAGCTTTATATAGACTTAAACTCATGGAGCAAAATGCTACAGATAGGAAGTGCTAAAGGGCTTTCCAGTTCTATGGGAATAAATTTCTGAATATTAGCTAATGGGAACAATAGCTTATGCATAAATTAGCAGAAAATTCACACTATATAATTATGACTGCATAGTATTTTAGATTAGGCTCTTTAGGGTGAAATGCAAATGCAGCATCTGTTGAAGTCTGTTAAACAGAAACATCTTTATCTTGCACAGATGCTACTTCATTCCTGCATATTTTAAAGCCATTTCCCAGAGTTGAATCTGAAGAACAATTTCAACCCAAAAATCATAAAAGAAGTCTTGAGTTATAATTCAATGTAACAAAGCAGATATAGCGGACTTCTCATAGCTTATACAAGTGATGCAATTTGCAAAATATTACAGTGGAACATTTTGCACACCTTTATCAGAAAAAATTGGCAGCTACTTTCCCACTTCATCAACTAGCTGCTAGTGAAAGGATCAAGGAATTCTATATTAAAATCAGAGCTAAAAAGGTGCTAAAGTAAATGTACCCACTTTTCCAGCTTAACATCAAGCCCCAACGTAGCCAGTTACAACCAAGTCATCTAGGTTCATAGTTTATTAACCAAATTTATAGAAAGGGGGAGGGGTTAGGGTTACAGAAATCTTGGCAAATGGATACATTATTTTAGCACTGCAGAAAGTTCCTTCTCAGAAGTTAAAGTTTCTCTACTGCTTATCACTTTCTAGAAGCTATTAAAAAACTTTTCATGTGTGTTACAAAATACTATTTATTCAGCTGTGGCATAAAGGCTCCAGTTATATTTTAGGAATGTTAATAAACTGTTGTGGAGGTTTTAATTTAATTTTACTTGTTTTATTGCAGATGGCTCATTGTGTACATCTATTGTGTTGCCAGGAATCTCAATGAAACATGTTGATACATAGGATCACTCAGTAAAAATAAAATAAATCATGCCACACGACATTTGGAAATTATGGGAAAGATACATGCTAAGCAGCACCTCTTAATGGTCAATGAAGAGTCTTCAAAAACTTCTGTATAACACCTTATAAAATATGGATGGATCTTGTATTTTACTTACTTGCTGCAAATGTATTTTAAAACATTTGATGCATTTTAAATATTTTACTTTAGGGATAAACTGCGTATATAATAGTGCCCAATGTTCCTACTGTATATTTATCCTTGCTAAGTATAACTTGTCTCCAACCTCTATAACAAATAATTTTTAACAATATAGTAGGTACTCCTAAATTGTATTTTAAAAAATAGAAACAAAAACTACTTTTATCCCTATAGTCCATGAAAATGCATCTACAAATCACCCAGTATCACTTGGAAAGTGAGATGAGTGGTGTTCAAATTTAATAAACAAAAAATATTTTAATACGTATTATATGTTTAGAAAGTGAAATGTAATTTCCAAGTTGCATATACATGGATTCCTTGAACCTTGTGTTCTTGCTGGAATTCTAGAATATCAGTTGACATTTCAAACAAGAAATGTACTTTTCAAGATACCAACAGTTTCATGCCTGAAATCTAAGCACTGTCACTATAGCAAATAGTGACATCGCTATTACTAATAGCTATGTCAGTCCATCACTCTAGAACCATGATGACGAACCTATGCCACGCATGCTGGAAGTGGCACGCAGAGCCATCTCTCTTGGGCATGCCAGACGTTGCCCATTGTTCTGCCGGGTTCCGGCATGCACATGTGTGCCGCTCAGTTAATCTTTGGGTGCCCAGGAGCCCGGGAAACCAGAAGAGTAGCTCCCAGTGTGCGCATGCACCGGCCACCTCATCTACCGGTTTCTAATGTGCATGCAAAGACCAGCTGGCCAGCGCATGCATGCACGTTACAAACCAGCCAGCCAGCTGGTCTTTGCTTGCCTGTTAGAAGCCAGAAGACCAGATGGCCAGCGCACACTCTTCTGGTTTCTGCCACACGTTTTGGCACTCTATGCCTTTTCAGTGTGCGCACGCTCTCATTTCAGCACTCAATGCTGAAAAGGTTAACCACCACTGGTCTAGAAAGTTCATAGCTGCTGATACTATAATATGAATATCCTACAATTCTGACAAAGTGGGATTAAAAATAATCACATGCCTGCATGCCTACGTTTGATTGGCAGGCTTCTGGGAATACACACTTCTAAGAAAGTATGTCTGGTAAAACATGGAAGTGAAGGGAAGAGAACAGTACAGCTCTGAGGTGATCAGGAAATAATATGTAAATCGGACGTCAGTATGAAAACACTGGCGCTCTGGAGACGGAAGCACTCTCTAATACTCTAGCAGGAGACTGGAAAACTACCAGAAGAGCAGACACAGCTCTTATTAAAGGGAACACTGTAGAGAGGCCGATAGGTTTATATAGAACTGATTAGCTACCCACTCATGATCCAGAAATTTTAAAAAATGCACCTAATTCTGAAAGAGTTAATATTTCTTAGAAAACGGTTGTAGCACATAGAATTTCTACCTTGTTGAAGAATTGTTCCATCAGCATTAACTGGTTGATAGACAATTGTCTGACCTTCTGCTGTCTGTGCTACTTGTTGTCCTTGGACTGCAATCTGTGGCTGGGTCTGCAGAAGCAAGCATCAGACAAAATTAAAACAGTGAGTAATATAAAACTATTATACCTTGGAATTTCCCATGGATTCACATAAAACACCATGCCAAAAATCATTTTTTCTGCATGTTCCATTGATCTTCCTCCCTTTAGTTGAACCCTTCTCCAACTTCTCCCCACTTTTAATATGCTACCTGTGTTTGGCCAGCTGTTACTGCTGTCTGTGGCTGTTGGATGATGATTTGTTGTGTCTGGCCCTGCTGGCCCTGAACTTGTACCGCTTGTCCACCTTGAATTTGAATCTGACTAGGCTGGACCAACTGAATCTGTGGACATATAAAATAGAGTAAGATGCTGTTAACTACTATTCCTAATCATGGCTTTAATTGTTTATTCTGAGAGGATTTATTAACAAAACAAAAGCTAGGGGAAAATTACTCATATTAAATAACAAAAGCAAGGAAAAAACAATGCTGAAGGGTGAGTTTGCTGCACCACTATACATATTTTCTACAACAAGAGTATTAAAAAATAAGGATAGGGGAAAAAAAATCCTTTGCAACTCCTAGGAAACATTCTTCAAAATTCAAAAGAATATGATCTTAAGCAAGAAGTGTTTAAACGTATACCGTGTTCCTCATAAAATAAGGCCGGGTCTTACATTTTTCTGAGCCCCGAAAAAACGGCTAGGCCATCTTTTCGGGGGGTGACTTAATTCCCCCCCTTGCATCCTCGTCTAGAGTGCCCCGCGGGCAGCCTCACCACCAGCCGCTCCTAACGGGTGATCATGGCAGAGCGTAGAGAGCTGCCTTTGCTGAAGACCTGAGACCTTCGGTGCCCGCCGCTGTTGCTTTCCCTTCTGCCCATGCCGCCACCGCGTTTGGAGCTGCCGCTTCCATGTTTGGAGCACCACCATGTTTGGAGCTGCCGCTGCGTTTGGAGCGCTGCCATCTGGAGCAGCGGCGGTGCTCCAAACATGGAAGCAGCAGCTCCAAATGCAGCGGTGCTCCAAATGCAGCGGTGCTCCAAACGCAGCAGCAGCTCCAAACAGCGGCGGCGCTCCAAATGCAGTGGTGGTGCTTCAAACGCAGTAGCAGCTTCAAATGTGGAAGCGGCAGCTCCAAGCGGCGGCGGTGCTCCAAATGTAGAATTGGCAGCTCCAAACATGGCAGCGGTATGGGCAGAAGAGAAATCAACAGCGGCAAGCACTGAAGGTCTCGGGTCTGCAGCAAACATGCTTGGCAGGAGTAGTGAGCTCTTCGTGCTCCACCATGATCGCCCATTAGGAGCAGCTGCTGGCAAGGCATGGCTACCCACGGGGCGCTCCTAACGGCAAGTCCCCCCACCCTTCCCCCCATTTTGCATGTTTTAAAATAGGCCTAAATTTGGGGGGAGGGGCTTAATTTCATTTTATGCCTAGAAAACATGCTTGGTCTTCCTATTGGAGGAGGCCATATTGTTGGAGAAACACAGTAGTATTTGTTCTTCCTCAAGTAGAGGCGTATTCTTGCACAATGTTCAATATGATCCCAATTAACATTACACTGATTTCCCACTAATGAGTATTACATAATGAGGTTGGAATTTCATTATTCTCAAGCAGTACATTATATTTATTTTTTATAAGCCTTTTCCTTCAAAGAGGAAGACTAAGCAACCAACACAAGTGATACAACCAAGTATTCCAACAACATCTGGAGAATAACAAATCCTCCATCAGTACCAATTATTTTGGGAAGCACCAATTGGATTAAATTGAGAGGCCCTATAGGTAGTCCTTTACTTACAACTATAATGGAGCCTGGAATGTCCATCATAAGTCATTACAGTTCTAAGTTGAAGCACCAACATGGCCAACCAAATTTTATGACCTTTTTTTGGTGGCCATTAAGCAAATATGGCAGTTGTAAGCATGACCGAGGAACACTGCAACTGGCTTTAAAAGTGTGGTGGGTTCCCAAGGGACTGAAATGCAATCATGAGTATGCTGTCATCAGAGTTCTGGAACTGGATCATCAGGACTTTTGAGGGGATTGTCAAAACTTTGAAGGACAAGTAAAAAACCTGGTTGTTAAACAAGGCCTACTTACATTACAATAAAAATGGTAAATATATCAGCAAAAAGAACATAGAGAAGTTCCTGTGCATTCAGACATAATGCATCATTAAATTCCAGTTGATGGGGGCAAGTAAGAAGTCATGGTTACTTCAGTTTAAGCTTCCTTGTATTTTCCTAGGCGGAGGAATAATTGTTGGTATTTTCCTAGACAGAGCTGGTTTATCTACAAATGTATGGATTCATTTAAACCCATTCAAATTGATTAATTCTTTTGGGAAAAATCAAGTTGACTGAAAACCGATTTAATAGAATCACTGCATTGCTTAACACTAATTTGTACATCATTTGGGCATGCTGACCTGCTGAAGTCCTTGTGATCCTGAAACCGGAACTTGCATAATAGTTTGACCCTGGCTTCCAGGTACAGCCTGTACCATAATTGGTTGACCAGTTGATGTGATTAGCTGGCCTCCACTCACTTGTACCATCAGTGGCTGACCCTGGACCTGAAGAATGGGAAAAGAAAAGAACCACAATGAAACACAAGCTCAGATAAGCAATTAGCTTCAGGCACCAAAATTTTTCTATGTAGAAGTTCTGCAAAAAATCTTAATAATATAGCATCACAAACAATATCTGCCTATTCCAGGTCCCTGAAAAGGCCTGGATAGGTGAATAAAAATGTCAAATCAAATCCAAATATCTAATGACTGTGTGACCAAACATAATAATATAAAAATATGAAGGAATAATAGGAAATACAAATATAAACAATATGAAGGAATGACATTATTAAGAAATGAAAGTACAAAATGTAAAATGTGACTGGAATTGAAGATAAAAAATTTGCACAGATTTGAGCAATTTGAAGAATTTGAGGAAAGGAAACTTGAAAAATAAGAAAATCAAAGCAAATCTGTTTGTAAAACACAATCAGGAGAACTGCAGAGGCTACAGAGCAACTGAAACAAAGAATTGTGCCACTAGAGACGATCAAGCAACATGCCAATGGAATAATTCAGTTCTAACATAATTTGCAGTTTAGAGCAAATCAGCATTAATTCTACAAAACTCTTGAAAGGACTGACCACAAATAATGAAAAACCTGAAAAAGCAAACCTAATATTTGGGACAAGTTGGTGGGGCAACAATAGGAGTCACAATAGGAATGTACATGGGTCAAGCAAGTTGAGCTCCATGGATTCTGACTAAAATCATTGACAAATTCACACTTGAGGTTAGTAAAGCAGGGTTTTGGAAGCATCAGAAAATGAAAATGGCTAACAACTGGAAGGCCATTTCTAATTGAGAAGGAGAAAGAGGAGGAAGAAAAGGGAAATCACCCTGAAATTTGCAGGATGCAGACCCATAACCTGTTTCCCAACAACATATAGTTAGCTAATCCTGAACATATAACAATTTTGATCATTTGAAGTTACAATGGCACTGAAAAAAAAGTGACTTATGATCATCACAGTACAGGGTCATGTGATTGCCATTCGTGGCCTACCCAGCAGGTTTACCATAAGCAAAGTCAATGGAGGAAGTCAGATTTAATAACACTGTGATTCAGTTAACTGCAATAATTCACTTAACCAAGGCTAAAAGTGTCACAAATTTGAGCACAACTCACTTCACAACTGTTTTGAGTGCACATGATGCAAACAGACAAGCAGCCACATCTTTTTCTAAGACTGAATCCAAAGAACTGTGTCAGAATATTCATGAACTGGCAGAGACATAGTAACAAGGTCAGCCAATGAGAGCTGAATTAGAAACTGAAATTGAAGGAGCCTGGGTGTGGCCCTGCAGTTGTGTGTGCTGTGCTGAGAACTGAAACTAATCTGCTCTGAGCTCTGAAGCTGCTGCTTGTGTTTTGCCTGTTGAAACTGTTGAGGAAACCCAAATAACTGTTACGTGACTTATATTCCTAACAGAAACGTTGGAGGAATCTACTATTTGTATTGTACAATTACTCATATATTATTATGTATATAAAGAGGTTAATGAATCCTGCTGAATCAGTCATCTGTGTGCTTTCTGGATTTGATTTCTGCAATAACTCTAACAAATGCATACTATATCATCTCCTATTAATAGGAGGCACCAAGAAGTAGCAGTATCTTTCGAAGATAGGCTCCTAAATTTAATAAAACTCAAATATTTTTATGAATACAGGTAGTGCTTGTCTTCCAACCATTTGTTTAGTGACTGTTCAAAGTTACAATAGCACTGAAGACTGACTTATTGTTTTTCACACTTACAAACATACTAGCATCCCCATGGTCAAGGGTTCAAAATTTGGATGCTTAGCAACTGGCATGTATTTATGACAGTTGCAGTGTCCCAGGGTCCCATGATCATCTTTTAAGACCTTCTGACAAGCAAAACCAATGGGGAAGCCAGATTCAGTTAACAACCATATTTAACAACTGAGGCAGGAAAGGTTGTAAAATCAGGTAAAACTCACTTAACATCTGTCTTGCTTAACAAAAGAAAATTTGGGCTCAATTGTGGTCATTAGTCAAGGTCTACCAGTATGTACACTTGTAACTAACTCAGACATATTTGGGACCTAGAATGGAAGTCCAAGAACAATGTAAAATATGAATGTCTTCTGAAGGCTTTCTATGCGACTTAGGCCAAGCTAAATAAAAACTCTTTCAAAACACTGGATTTAAATTTTCATAAAGAAATTATGGATTTGAAATTGAACACATATGAATAATTCTAGGCTGGACAAGGACAACAAAACAAGAAAAAGAAGAACTAAAAAGGGATATAGTGTAAAATTCAGAATAGGTCAATACAATGCAAATAAACTTTATCAACTTTATTTTATTATTTCTTAGATATAATAAAATACTGAATATTTTGAAAAGTGTCATAAAATAAAAAAAATCAAAGCAAGAAAAAATACCTTTAATGACATCAAAAGATGGATGTTAATGCGCTTTGTAACACTAATCCTTAAAAGGGCAGAGGAAACGGAAATAGTAGTCTTGTCTTATTTAACAAATGATAATAGTCTTCACATGACATTTACCATTTCACAAGAACACATATTGGGATTTGAAATCTTTCTTGTCCAGTATTTTAATATTTATTTTAATATTTTAAGATAACATATATTATTGATTTTTGTCCTAAACATAATCCATTAACTAAATGTCATTTTTTTTTGCAAATCTCACTGGTAAAAGGGAAAACAACTCCTCAAATATATAATTTTATTTTTTATTAAAAAGACTTTTGAAGAGTGACAAGCCCCCAGTCCCGTCCCGCTCACATATCCCTATTTTTTAAATCTGTAGTAATAGAAGTTTCAAATAAGTCAGTTTGCAGCATGCATTTTTAACTGGATAATCCATTTCAACATTTTTGTTAATTTGACTGTTATCTGCTACAGTTAAAATGAGCATACATATACATATAGTTCATACATTGAATTACAACTCTTTTGATTCACAGCCACCATGAGAATTGGTTGAGAAGCTTATTCCATTCCATTTGGGGACATGAGATGTTACTTATAATAAAACTGCCACTATTTTTCTGTTTCCATTTCAAGCCCCAGTGCAAACACAGCATTGAACATGCAGTGATAATGTGTTTCATGCAGTGCTCACACAAAAACAACAGATAGATCACCACTACCTGGAGGGTCTGAACTTGCTGGCCTGAGGCAGATGCCACCTGAGCCTCAGTCTGCAACTGGACAGCAGTCACACCGCCCTGCTGCTGGGAACAGGAACAGGAATAGGAAGAGCTTGAAACTTGGCAGGAGGAAATGCTCAAGACAAGATTAAAAAAAATAAACTGCCAGAAAAGACAACAGGCCCTACAAGGTGGAATGAGCGAGTCCATTTCTAATGTAGTAGCCTACCCATGTTTAATCTGCATATATTATTCTCGGGTCAAAAAGATAATATATATACACCTTTCGCAGTGCAAAGTTTGGAAGCTCTAAATAAGGACAGAAAAGAAATAGATGAATGACTTGTGGCTTCTGAAGGGAAGAAATCTAAACACACTGATATTGTATTGTGCCTAAATCAGTGTATGCCTTGCACTGTGACCTCTCTCAGAAAAAAAGCATTGAAATGTAAGAAACAGACAAGATAATAAAAAACCTCAGTATGATAAGCATAACCTAATTTACATTAAACCAAGAGATATCTAACTTTATACGTAGTACTGTAGTTAAGTATTATGCAGACATTATTCACAAACAAAACATTACATTAGTATTAGAGCTGGCCAAGGAATAGACATACCATTTAGTTTTCATAATTATGCTTTAACATATAGATATTAAATGTGCCTTTGTTAGGGCTATGCAAACCATATGGAAGTACAATTCATTTTGGCAGAAATTCTGGCAGAAGTACCCTGTGTGCACATATACAGGCAAAAACATTGGGAAGGGGGCATGATTGCTTTTACACTCAAAGTGATGCTTCTTTTGAGCAAAAGAGTAACACAATATTTTGCACAGTTCTAACAGTGAGTATGGAAGTAACTATTCTTCTGGGCACTTAAAACTGTTAAGAACCAACATACTGAAATCTGAATTACAAATAACTATCATACCTGTTGCTGTATTTGTCCAGCCTGCACAACTATCTGTTCTGTTGAGCTACTGCTGTTTGTGGTGTACTGCTCCATAGTATCAATTCTTTATCCAATCTTCAATCAGAAACCTAAAAGAAAACATAGAACATTCTTGTCAGTATTGAGTGCAAATTATCCGGGAACCCTGAAATAATGAAGAGGGCTGAACTGCAACATAGTAAAATGGTGAAAATTGAGAAACAAATTATTTCCAGGTAAAGCAGAATTTCAAAAGCGAACATCACTAGTGGCATTAGGGCAGATGACTGGGTTAAAGTTCTGTATCTCTAGAAGTTATGAAAAGGATTCTCTTCTCCCACTTACCAAACAATTTTTTTACTATAGATGTTATTGCATTTATTACTCAATTTATACCTTGCTTATCATCTTGGAAATTCAAGAATGCACAGGGTTTTTACTCATTTTACCCCCATCAACAATAGGCAATGTAATAGGCACACTGTTCAGTGGGAAATTTGGTTTACATCCTCTTGGTTAAATTCTGTCAACAACGAACACGTAGTAATTCAATTTCCTACACATCAGTTCTAAGTATATCAACTAGGTATATGGTGGCTATAAATTAGGTGATTATCTGCAGGGAATTAGGTTTGGAGAAGAGTGAAGTATCTCCAACAGATCCAAGCATGATGTAGTTTGAAATCAGCAGGAGTGGGACTACAACGCTTCAGGCAAACAACATTCAAATATTCACATCTTCTGATTAATTTTGCAGGACACTGCCAGTGTTAATTTAGTCAAACTGAAATTGTTTTTCATCAAATGTATTTGTACAAGACACAGTATTTCAGCAAATCCTACTGATAAGCTGAAAACAGAATGGGTCTGACTTCCTTCTAAATTCAGTTGTGAGGCCAAGGAGGAGACAAGCAAGCTATAGATTGTGAGATTTTGTATTAATGAGTGGAACAATTTGCTTCCAGAAGTTGGGGGTGCTCCAACACTGGAGGTTTTAAAGAAAAGATTGGACAGCCATTTGTCTGAAATAGTATAGGGTTTCTGCTTGACCAGGGAGTTGGACTAGAAGACATCCAAGGTCCTTTCCAACTGTTATTCTATTACTAGTAAATTCTACTCTTTGTTTTCAGCAGAAAAATGATGCACATTTGTCAAATTACAGAGATAGCCAATGGAAAACTATTGTACTTTAGCCTTACATTTGAAATATCAACTTCCTTTCTCTATTTTAACTACATGTTAAGCTTACTCGCATATAAAGTTATTTTGATTAGCTTTTTTTTAAAAAAAGCCAACAATACAAATTCTAGACTGAGCCACAAAGCATGATCTCTGTAAGCTTTTATGTTCAGTGGTATAATAAACAAATACAGAATATAATGAAAGCACAAAACCAAAACAAATCTATCATTCCCTAACATGGAATTTAAGAAGTCCTATATAGTATTCCTCTTTGTCATAAGGATTTATGTTGAAAGCCACTAAATCATTTTGTACAGGAAATACATAAAAGGATTTCACACACACACACACAAATAGAATAAGTTGCCATAAGGTTATTCTAACATGACAGGAGAAAACATGCCTTTACTCCACCGTTTATGGAAAGGTTCTTCTTTCGTGGTACCGGTCAGCCTATCCAATATACATTTGTAGTAGTTATGTGAGCAGTTTACAACTGGCATAAGCAGCAGTGGCTTTCATCCGAGGCAGATTATTTTAGCATAACTGTAACACGATATGCAAGGAAAGCCCCTTTGTTTTTTGTCATGGGAAAAAACAGCTATGAAGGGGCCTTCTCGGCTACAACACAGTGTATCGATCTCGATCGGAGGCGAAATTTTAGAGGGAAAAATTTGGCAGAGCGACTGACGGAGAAGCTCAGCGCTCTGAGCCCCGCGGTGTTCGGTTACAGTCCGTGCCCTGAAAGGCGTGCGAGCGAAACTGACCTCCAGGGCCAGAGGCCGCCAAACACAGGATGGCGAGCCCCTTACACAGGCCCCTGGAAGCCGCCCCGTGATGCCACCAGAGGAAACCCCCCACGGCCTTTCTCTCGTTCCCTTCCTCCAGCCTAGGCCACACAAAGTCATCTCCGAAGGTCCTCCGGCGGTCCCGCGGGGACCGGGCCGAGCAAGACGGGACTAGCTAACCCTACCCGGCCCAAACAGTGATATCCCCGTTCCCACGTCAGCCACCCATCCCACTTCGATTCAGGTTCCGGGCGCCAACGGGCCACAGCCACTCGCTGCCCCAGCGCTCGCCCAGCCCTAGCCCGCACGCGGCCTTCTGACTGGCCACTCGGCCCCGCCAATCCCGGCTCTTGGGCCGGCGCTCGGGGGCTCCATATTGGCTGCTCGAACTCACCGTGCCTTGCTCCCCCGGTTCGGGTCCCGCTCTGATTGGCTCCGCCACCGGTCCCCGAAACCCAATCAGCGCCTCCACTCAGCCGCCGCGCAAAATGGCGGCCAACCCCCGAAGCCCAACAAAGAGAAGGCGAGGGTGCCCTCGCGCAGGCGTACTAGAAAAGTTCCTCCCGCGGATGCTTGCGCTGGTTTAAAACTGCACGCATGCGTTGGCTTCTTTCGAACTGACGGGTGCGTTTGGACCGTTTCTGTTCTCTCTCAACCCTTCCATTCTCGAGATGACTTTTCTACGCATGTGCGGACAATTCCCCCCCCCCGCTTTTTTTTTTAGCGCACTTCACGGATCCCCCTTCTTTCTATAACGCATGCTCTCGGCCGGTGCCATAGAGTCCTCTTCCTAGGAAAGCCCACGTGAAGGTTGACATTTTGTGTGTTTTGTTTAAGGGGCTCCCAAAGACGGTTACCATAATAGAACTTAGATTCTAAGACTTAGAACTTAGTGGGAGGCGAAACTGATTGCTGCTGTTGCATATGTAGGCTGGTGGCCGGTTGTGGTTCTATTTTTTCCGCTTTCGCCATTGCTGGCTTAGAGAGTTCGTGGGCGGGGGCGGGCGTCATGCCTTGGAGGCGCCTCGAGGGACAGCCGCCTGCCCTTTGGTGCAGCTTCGCTGGTTGTGTTAAAAACAGTGCTGGTGTGGCCCTGCGTAGGCCTTTCACACGAGAGGGTGAAGGATGTGTTAAAAAGTCTCAGAATTATTATTTTTTTGGGACGGGGAGGGGAAGGTTATCGCAAGGTAACTGGTGCCCTAATTCGTATTTGATATTGTGTGTATGTATATATATATATATATGCATGTATATGTGTATATATGTATATGTATGTATGTATGTATGTATAGTTATTTCCCTTTGTTTACTTTTCCTGCCATGAATATGAAAATTATTATTTTCTAGTCCTTGTAGCTGAAAAAAAAACCCCTGTGATCCACCCAGTTATGGCTAGTACCTGGATTTCTGGAAATGAAGAAAGGGTTTGTAGTGGAGTTTTTTTAAAATTTATTGCAATTCAGTTTTGAATTAGAAAGATAGTTTTATTTCTCAACAGAAATGAACTGGTCTCTTTAAAAAAAGTCTGGCTACTTTAGGCTTTTGTTTGTGCAGGAAAAAAAATAATCCCAAATCATATTTGTAAAACTTTGTTGGAATTAATTTTTCCATAGGTTTCACTTTATCTTAATACCCTAGCAATATAGTTCTGTCAAATAGGTTATAATACAATTCATTTTCAGTACTACTTTTTGTATTTTAGCCATTCTGCAATGTCTAAGTCAACGTTGGTAGTTCTGCCTTTTTCGCACCCAGCCATGTCTTAAGACAGGCTAATTGCTCTGGTGTAAAAAGATTGTAGTAAAAAACAAACTTGCAACTGAAGGAGAAGTACCCAGATATAATGTCTGACTCTTTTTTTTCTCCCCCTTTAATGGATTCATAAGAAAATTTATCCCTTACCATTTGGCAATTTCCCAAAGCAGTATGTCTATGGAGATTCCAGTTGTCCAGGTCATAGTTGTCCCAAAGATGCTTTTTTTGCCTCTTGAAAAAAAGTATCTTTGGGATGCCAAAGCAGTAGTTAGAAAGCTAATATAATCAGTAATATAATTAGTCATATAAATCAGTAGCTTTTCCTGTTCTGTTTAAAAATTTCAAAGTTACTCTATACCAATGTTTATAAATGAGAAATAGTGTTGTTACAGTAAGAATGTATTTCGAATTTCAAGAGTAATTTTGTGATTGATGCACTCTCAGAATGGCTAATATACTAAATTTTCCTTTTAACAAAGTGGCTACAATCTAGTAGTAGAAACTTTGTGGGGCCAAGAAGAATAGTTCCAAATAAATACGATGCTAAAAGAAAGGTGAGGCTTACAGCCTAATGGTGTCAGTGCATATTGCTGCATGTATATTTGCTTCCATGCATATTGCATTGTTTTGAAGGAAATGAACCACAGGCATGTTGTGCAGAAGCTGTGTTTGCTATATTCTAAGTCATTAATCATGCTTGAAAATCACAGTGATATTCAATTCTAAATTATGTGAAATTTAATGATTGAACTTCACTAAAGTATGTTCTGTGAACATACATATATTACCATACATCATATAATATATAAAATATCTTTTATATGATACATTATATAAATTAAATTAGAATATTAATTAAAATAGATCATCTAAGGACAAAAACTCTCCCAAATAATTCCTCCTTTGCAGATTGCAAAGAGGAAATAATTATACAATGTGAAGTCAAGGTGAACCTCACTTGTGTTTTTACCTTCTGCAGTGTTATTGATTATATTATAAAACAAACCATAATATAAACTAACCCAATTTAAATTGTGTATATTTACCTGAAAGTAATTGGAACCTATTGAAATTTTGATGTGACTTTTTTTTAGTATAGATACAGAAAATGAAGCTCATTAAGATAGAAATTGTCCTAAAGTTCTGCAGTAAGAGACATGTATCTTTAGAAAGAATAGAAGAGTTTTCTACCATCCTAATGTTTGCAGCATAAATGATTTGTTGATTGTTGGCATGGAATACTTGAATTGATTTTACATTACAGCATAAGAATTACCAGAATAGATTGCAGCATGAGTCTATATAAGAAGTTTCCCAATATTTCAAAATCTCTTTTTGTATAGCATGAAGCCTCAGATTTCAGTGGCATGAGATTAGATAATTACTCCCCTAAAGGTTTATAATTATGATTTTCCTGATATGTTTGCAGTGATGTATGTTTTCTTAATGGAAACACACCATTCTGCTATTTAGAAAAGTATAGTAAAAAATTCAGTGGTACTCTATAAAGTACTGGTGGCGTAATTCTCCATTTCATAAATTATCCAAGTGACATTCACAGGGTGCACAAATATCCTAACTCAGCAACTGTAGAACTTTGTTTCTAAAATAACTATAGTTGCCGGTAGTCAGTGTAATGATTCCACTGAAGGCTTTAAGAAGATGATTGCTTAATTCAATGGAAGTTCCTTTTGAAGAGAATTATGATCATGATTCAAAACAAAAATTTAAAATTTTAGCTTTCCTGATATAAATTTAAAAATAAGAAAGGCCGTTGAAGAAATTAAAATAAAATAAATTAGTAATCCAAAACATAAAACTGTCTACAGATGAACAGCCAGGTAAGAAGCTGACATTAAAATAAAGCCAACTTAGTATCAAATCTCCACAAAGAGGAGGATCCTGAATCTAGGTGTTAGACTTTGGAAGAGTTTCTCCTGTCTCTTTGCACGATATACAACTGTGAAAGGACAGAAGATTTTAATATTTATGTGGATATATACCAAGAGAAAAGATCCTTTGGATATGAGAGAAAACAACATTGAACTTATTGTAGGAAATCAAGAAAATGTCTGAGAAGGTGGCAGTGGCAAGCCAGTGTAGTACTGTTGCCCAGAAAACTAAATGAAATCACCAAGAGTTAAGCTCAATTTATGGATGCTGGCAGCATATGTTACTGAAGGCATAATACATATTTTTCTTGGAAATAAATTCTATTTCATTATTTTATTTTGTGCATATCTCAAAAGAAGCCCTATTTTATATAGTGAGAAATTTAGTAAATATTAAAATCTCTTGTGTATAGCAGTCAGCAGCTTAAACTGTGATATTATCTTTATATATTGTCTTACATTTTCTCATTCTGGATTTTTATCTCATATATTGAGTCGTCTTTTTCATTTTTACCCAGATTAAATATGTGCAGGGAGATCTTTTTACTTGTCCAGAAACAGATTCCTTGGCTCACTGTATTAGTGAGGATTGTCACATGAGTGCTGGCATAGCTGCTATTTTTAAGAAGAAGTTTGGTGGTGTTCAGGAACTTCTGAATCAACGTAAGTAAAGGGCCAAGGTAGAGCAGTTTATAGAACCACAGAATCTAGGTACTATACAGTAAAAGTGAGTGTTATGCAAATAGATTCCTTCAGATGACAGATACACTTTATGTCCTGCTCAACTAATACCTTTATAATGTGCTCCAGATGGGGGATTTCTAGACTAGCTTTTGAGGGCATTTAGTGGTCAGGGAAAATTTCTCCTTATTTCATTGTTTCCATTAGAAACAATTTAAAACAAGTATAAACATAGTTAACAGTAACAAAAATAATAGAGTAATTAAATAATGTTCAGAAAATAATGCCTCAGAAGAGGTTTAACTTGCTGTAGCTGTACAACTCTTTCAAATGGAGCTACTAATTTTCATCATATTGTATGCCCCTGCCTTGTAAGACAAGCAGCCAGAAGTTCTTTACTTTTTGTTACTTTACTTTACTTTTTGTTTAAAAGTATCTAAACAAGGCCTGTGTTGTTGCTAACAATAGATGAATAGAACCACTAGGTCAGGTGTGTCAAACTCAAGGCCCAAAGCCTGGATACAGCCTGTTGGGTGCTTAAATCTGGCCCATGGGGCCGCCCTGGAAACAGTGGACTGGCCACAGTGCTTCCACCAGCAAAAATAGTGTAGGAGCCCCAACACAAGTGACGTTGAGCTGGCCAACGTCCAGCCCCCTCCAGGTCAAACATAACCCTGATGTAGCCCTCAATGAAATCGTGTTTGACACCCCTGCACTAGGTGATTGAAGAGCTTACTTTGTATGTTAGCTCTTGGACTGTGGAAACTATTGATGGGGTAGGAATTTTATCAGTACATTGTAGTTTTTAAATGTGCCCTATATGTAGACCATGGGTGTCAAACTTGCTGCATCACATGACATCATGTTTTTCCCTTTGCGGAGCTGGGGTGGGCGTGGCCTGCGTGTGAGGCACCCGACCCATGTTTGACACTCCTGATGTAGACTATTAATATACTTGTTACCAGTTTATTCAGTTGTACTACCTAGTATAATGTACAGTTGTAACTTGGAAATGTTAGAAATATGACAGTGATCATATTACTTCACCATTTTAGAACAAATATAAACACGTATCGAATTTTTATCTACACTCAATTAAGTGTCATTCAAAATTTTTACATATGATCAATTTATATATTATTTAGTTTCTTTCAAAAAAAAATACGAGAACGGGATGACCATGGTGCTTTCTTATATGTTTGTTATGATAGTTTTCAAAAATAATAAACATTTTCAGTGCTCTGGAGATTAGGAATTAACTGATTTTTCTAAAAAAAAATCTGACATAGACAAGAAGACTGGAGATGTGGCTATTCTGAAGAGAGAAACTAGATACATATATTACTTGGTATGTCATTGGGAACATTACTGGTATTTATTCTAGAGATAAATATATGATTTATGCATCAAGAATTATGATTGGCAAAAGTTAAACATCCTCTCCATCGACAAACATTGCTGAAATTTTTAATAGTTTTTCTGAAGGAATCCCTATACAAATGCAATGTTTGCTGCATGAGATGAGCCGTGATGACTCAGTAGTTAGAAGGCAGCATTTTGAGGATTAGTACGTGAGTCTTTCCCAATGCAGTCTACAAATCCCATTACAGTATTTAATTTCATAAACATTAATTTTAAAGATTTAAAATCTAATACATTACAATAATATATTAACTGCAATCCTTTGTATATCTATCCAGAAGCAAAGTGCATTGGATTTGTTCCTTTGGTTAAGGCTGCAATTTGGAACATATTTATCAAGGATTTCCCACTGAATTGACTGAGATTTCTAAGTAGACATATAACATGCAAAATAAAAGGAATCAAATCTAAAATGTGTCTAATCTACATTTTACCATTTTTTTTAGATCTCAAAAAACAAATATTTTCATAAACCTACATATGACAATTTACGAAAGAGTTTAGAAGCTATGAAAATCCATTGTCTGAAAAATGCAGTAACTCACATTTCTATGCCAAAGTAAGCTCATTTTTATATTATAAAGTTACTATACTATATTTACACATTGACAAAATAGTTTTTCATTAATTGAAAATCTTTTACTTTTTTATTTATATTTTGTCTATGTAAAGGCTCTACAATAAGTCCCAAAAAATCCTGGAAGAGCTGCTGACTTTAGATTAAGCACATTCAGAATATATTTTTGTATATTTAAAGCAAAAGACCTGTTTTCATTGAATTTGAAGGTGTTATTAAATGGAAAATAACGCTTTCTAAGTTGTGATACATGGTTGTATAACTGAGAAAACGTACAGTGTTTGAGAGCGTCACACTTCTTTAGCTTGAAAAATGTGACCAAAAATGAGCTGCTTGTTAGATGGTCATAATTATGGATGAGCTTAGATTTTATTTTAGTGATATACCTAATAAGCTAGTGAATGAAATTTAGTTCCTTAGAATGTTACATTCACACTTATGGATGTTTCTTTAGGATAAATCAATAAGTATGACTATTGAGATAGTATGAGATAGCATGCGATTAGTATTGTATCATATTTACACCTAATATGTTGGTTTGAATTAATCCTTGTTTTGGCACTGCTTATATGTTTCCTATAAATCATGGTGAAATAAATGTTTCGAAGAAAATACCCAAAAGAGACACCTTGTATGCTCTGTATTTCAGGATTGGTTGTGGACTTGACCGTCTGGACTGGAAGAAAGTTTCAACAATGCTGGAAGAAGTATTTGAAGATACCAATATTCATATTACAGTTTATACTCTTTAATTCCTAGTAGAATTGTCTGTTCTGTTTGTTGTTATATCCTTGTATCAGTATCTTACCTGACATATGCTGATAGTGTTATCTTAATTCTAGTGTTCACAATTCTTTAAGTCCTTTTCTGCTCTACTCAAATTTTTTTAAAAAAAGTCAAAATGTACATTCTAGTGTTCAGATACTTAGTGTATCTATCTCCTATTTAGCAATTGGAAGATGTTATTTTAAGAAAAACACTCAACAAAACTGATTTTTTTTTATATAGATTGGCAATCATGTGGAAAAGATTGGAATAGGATGGAAAGTTATGTTTAAATGTTTACCAAAAATAAGATGTTCACATATATAAATAAAAGACCTTTTCCAAATATGAGTTTTATGTATTTATGTTTTTGAAATACTGCAGTATATCAGTTGTACATGAAACATTATTCGTGTCCACCCAGGTCCATTGTTGAAATGTATTGAGGTGCTATGTAAACATTCCACGAACAAGTTTATACACCTCATAGAATGCTGGATCAGATTTGCTTAGGTTGTGTCTTTAACAGAGTACATATTGCTAAAATAGCAAATGAGTGATAGATAAATTAATGTAGTGTGAATATGAAGGCAATTTTTGACTATCTCCAGGCCAAATTTATAATAAAGATGGATAATGGAATAAAAATCCTATTTTAAATCTCTCTGAAAGTGGCCTTTTCAAATTAGAAGTGTAATTGGGGACAACTTACTGAAAACTGGGCGTGTTTAGTGACATTGTATTCTTGTCATTTGTTTAATTTTAAAAATAATAAAATAAAAATGCTTTAAATAAATTTTGTAAGCAGCTGAGCCAGTATTTATTGGGAAATTATTTCTCATTGATTAAGAGAGACCAAACTGTTTTATAATGTACATGCTAATTAGTTCACAAGTGCAAAAGTACTTCTAACTCCCTCAACCAATGCTTTGTGAATGGTCATTGTCAAAATAATTAGTAATCTCTCTCCGTATTACATTTCCCTTTGATTTCTGCTATTCACTGCATATTAATTTAAAAAAATTAATGTTAAAAATGTTAATGTTAATGTTTTAATGTTAAATTTATTTCTTGAAATTTCTTTGGATGGGACTTTTCTAAACTTGTAAGTGATAGAACTTTGCTTTGATTCTGTTCTTTGTCATTTATAATGTTTTCAATTCTATGTGAATAACAGCACTGCAGGTTTATGTATTTAAAAAAACCAGATCTCTACATGTATTTTTAGTCTTATCAGCATAGCAGTGTGTCAGCTGGAGACTTCTGGTGTTTCCTATTTCAAAGCAGCTCTGGAAAACTGAGTTGAGAGTCCCAAATGTTAAGAGTATACCATGCTTGTTGCTCCATGGGTTGGCACATTTTTTTCCTGGAGAGACAGAAAAAAGAGGCACAAAGTGGTTTTGTCAGCAAATGGTATTTTATTTCTTGCAAAATAGGAGAACTAATACAAATGTTCCTTATTTTGGCAAGAGTATGGTTTCTTCATTTTTCTTAATTCATAAAATCCATTTGGCACCCTTTATGTAATCAGAGACACCTTCATAATAACGTCTTCAGATCTAGGTTGATAATTATATAGAGGTTGAGATTTTTGAGATTGAGATTTTTGCCAGGTAGGAGATGAGATAGACAGCAAATAAGTTTTCTAAACAAACAAATTTAATGTTATACTTTTAAGATTCCAGGTTAATTTTATTGCAATTTATGTGTTTGTTTTAGTGGATTAAAACAACTCTAAAATATGATTTATGTTCTTTTTTATACTCTGATCCAAATTGATGTGATTTGCAGCACGGAATTTGTACTGCAGAAAATGCAGCACTACTTGAAAAATGCATCACTATAATAGATTGTTATATTCCTGTTTAAACAGCATAGCAGATGGATTAGGGAGAGGGATGTAGTTTAGTTTTAGAACATTCCTTTGCATTTAGAAATACTGTTTTAATTCCAGTGAAGTATCTCCCTGAAACCTTAGCAGCTGCCACTGTTGAATTAGATCAGTGTTTTTCAAAATTGGCAGATTTACAATGGGTGGAGTTCTAGGAGTTGAAGTCCACACCTTAAGGGTGCCAAGTTTGAAAAATACTGAATTACAATAGATACATCATATGTTTTGCTTCTTGTAAGGCTGATTCCTATATTCATTTGCTATTTCCACCGATCGTTTTTTCTAACTGACCTAATGTAGATACATGGAGTCACTGCCATATGGAAGTGAGTGAAGAAAAAATGGATTCCATGGGATTCAGACTCTGGAAGCACTATGGAAAAACAAGCTGATCTGTGAGTCCATGTTGGAGCAGAAACAATCTTGTAAAGAGGCAATAAAAAGATGGGGTTTTCTTTTTTAAAAGGGGCAATTCTATATTTTGCATGTCTTTCACCAGAGAAAGAGGATCATCTCTTTTCCATGGTTGACTGAAAACCAGGAAATAAAGACTGCAGCCATGTAGACATCTGTGTTAAAGATTAGGGAATTATAATACATAGCTAGAGATTAGTGAAACATGCAGATTAGAATTCTAATCTAGAGGCCAATTTGAGCTATGGAATTTTGCTATTTTTGTGCATAATCCACTCTGAGGGAATACTGTTGTAGCTGAAAGCAACTTTTGGAAATCACTGTCAATTTCTTTTTTACTTTTGTGCTTTTTAAAACCTCTAGTGTTCTATGTTTGCATATAAAAGACTTGAATTCTTGATACTTATTCTGGGATCAGCCTTTAGTTAAATGTTTCTCCTCGATCAACCTATTGCCAGGACATTTATTTCCTATTGCTGTCTCTTGAATAAATCTAAGGGGTTCTGCAGTGTGCTAGTGGTTGATAAAATAGGATTCAGTATGCCTCTGCCATGAAATGCAGAGATGTGTGCTCTAATCTGCCCAAAGCTGCCTTGTTAAAAACCAAAATAAAGTTTGCTTCTTATGATCTTGACAGCTTGAAGACTTGTGGACTTCAACTCCCAGAATTTCTCCTCCAGTCATATTAGCTCAGGAATTCTGGGAGTTGAAGTCCACAAGTCAAACTTTCAAAGTTCTGAAGACCCTTGCTTATGATGGCCTGAAAAAGTACCCTAAACAGGGAGATTTCAAAATCGCGCTTAATACTAACCTCAGTGCAAAATTTCAGCAAGCTTTTCATCATAAAATTGGAAGTTCTCTTGAATGTCTTCCCAGGGTGTAAATGCCTTTGCTGCTCCTTCCTCCTGCTCTACAAAGTTTTGCCAGACGTACTCGAAATCTTGAGGTTTCATGATTCTCAATTTACAACCAGCTGTTTTCAGTTTCTTCAAGGCGGTTTGCATGTCAGGTTCCTCCCACATGAACAGACGACCTATTGCCATGGAGAGATGTAGGTTCTTATTCTTCTGAAGTGCTTTAGTTATCCGATCCGCACAGCCTATACAGGGGCTACAACTGGAGTACCAGGTGACATTGTAGCACAGGCCAGACTCGCACTTGGGCAAGATAGTATTGAAGAAGGCATCTTCTGCATGGGCTGCTGCATGTTCATCTTCCAAGTAGCCCCGTAACTTTTTGGACTCCTTGCCCTGAATCTCTATGATATAGCATAGGAAAGTCTTGTTTCTTCCTGAACTGTATTCGACGTTCTTGAACTGGAAATTGAAAAAGCAGGCTGGAAGCCGTTCCCTAGAGAGAGGAGTGAAAGTATCAGTGTGGAAACAGGGTTTATAATGTAACCCCCTGTACGGTTTCTATTTTGTTAAGATAATTTTATAACAACACTTGCTCCCCAAAGTATACAAGTGGGAAGCAACTTGACAATATCTATTTCCCACTTAGAGTTTATGTAGAAGCAACCTCACCAGTTAGTACTGTGGAGGTATGGAATAGGAACTGGTGGGAGTTTGCTTTGAATTAGAAAAAATAAAAAGAGATGAATCACACAATATTACAACTATCACCAGCTTTTTTTGTTTTGTTTTTAGAGCTATTCTCTCTCCCCACCCTCCCCGCCATGTAATGCTGTCTTAATGTATTGGGCAATATTTCTTAACTGGATAAAAATTATAGAATTTCAATTTAGTACTTTAATTTATTGGGATTTAAATTGGAAAGTTGTGCAAAGGGTAGATTGTGTGCTATGTACTGTTTTTGTAATCTATTGGAGATATAGCCAATTAAAAGCATAATTTACATATTTTATAATGGTGCTGCAGTCTACTAGAGAAGTATGTAATTATTCTACATTTTTGTTATCTAAAGCCAGTAACCAGTAAGCACGTTACTGACATTTTCATTTCTTTACTACCAGTTTTCCCCTCAGAATGGATTTTTTAAACTCATGCATTACCCAATCAATATTATTTAATATAAAAATAAAATCAATAAAGCATAAATAGTTCTTATTTTACTGAAAATGGATGATATAATTATCAAGTCTTTTAATGTAAACCTTTAAAAACATTTAGCACTCTTCTCTTTAATTGCAATATAATTTAAATGACTTTTATACCAGAAGCCTTATGGAAAATAAATGTAAATCATCTAATGTCTTTGTTATTTTTTAAAGATTCCCAAATGCATGTTCAGTGAGACGTGAACATGTGAGAATACTACAGAATATTTTCAATGGCAAATTTGTAGGAAAGGAAAAATTCTTAATTTTCCTGTCCCAGTGACCCCAGTGACAATGTTAACAATAGCCTAGATGTTGCAGTGTAAGATGGTGGTGTAGAAACAGTATGATTGTACCTCCAAAACATTTACAATTTTCTGCAGGTCTGTGGTAATGGCAATGGATATAAGATATTTTTTTGGCTTTTTCATTGCAGAGAATCTCCCTTATCCCCTTCCCTTCTACTCCAGTCTAGTCCAGTTAAGAGATTAAGAAGGAAAGGAAAGCCATCTTCATAACACATGTATTCATAGACTTTGGATGCATGCATGTCTATAATGACCATTGCCAGGAAATTCAGCTGTCAGCACCTCTTCAATTATCTTGATTTGTTAGGCAGTTAATCTATACTGCTGTGAAGTATGAGATAAACAGATTTTGAATTAACCTTTCTGTATAATACTGATGTACAATTTATATATGCTGTTGGAAAATTTAAATTAGAAAACTTTAAGCTCTTTGTTTTGAAAAATGGTTCATCTCTGTTATTATTTTCCCTCTGGGTTCCAACTAGCAAACTTTTACTACACATTTTTGACAGAATGCTCACTATTATTGAATACTGAAGTAGTTTTCTCATTATTTTTATTGACCCTAGGAATTTACAGGTAGCCCTCAAGTTCATTTAGTGACCATTCAAGTTACAACAGCACCAAAAAAGATGACTTAAGTTATGACCCTTTTTCACACTTATGACCATTGCAGTGTCTAGGGATCATGCGATCACCTTTTGCGACTTTCTGACAAACGAAGTCAATGGGGAAGCCAGATATCCTTAACAACTGTGTTACCAAATTAACAACTACGGTGATTCACTTAACAACTGTGGCAAGAAAAGTCATAAAATGGAGGAAAATTCACTTAAATGCCTTAGCAACATTTGCCAACACAATTGGGCTCAATTGTGGTTGTAAGTAGAAGACTACCTGTATTGTATATCCATATGTTATTAGACAAATGTTTTCAATCATTTCATTATGATTATATGAAGGGTGCATCCTGAAAATAATTGAATCTTCCACCACATAAAACTGTTTTTCTTTTAAAGAAAGGATAGATTTTATTTTGGCTAAATACAATTTCAATAAAATAAATGACCAGGTTACTCTATTATTGACAAAACAAAACAGAAAATCTTGTGATATCTTTAAGATTAAAAAAATGATTATTTTACAAGATTTTCTGAACCACAGTACAATGTAGTTTCATTTCCACATTGAAATAAAATATAGAAGCCCAAAAAGTGATGGTAGCTGTGCACAAGAGATTTATTAGGTATCACATTTCTTGTACTAATGAATAGATTGGTCTTTATTTAATCTGTATTAAAGAATTTTGAACCTCTTATTTCTAGATTAGTTCTTTTATGAGAAGTTATATTTTAATATTCTTCCACCCGAGGAGACCCATCTATCTATCCTGAGATCAGTGATAGGATGCTATTCCTGCTAAATTGCTTATGTCTTAAAACTGGTTATAAAGGAAAATGGAGGAAGGAATAATCTTAATTCTAAAAACTGATCTGGCCATAGGACACACAGTTTCAGAGATACATCAGTTTGGGGCAGAGTTAAAAGAAACTGGCAAGAAAGCAAACTAATCTAGTGATTGTAGCTGAAATGTTTTAACTGCCAGGGATAATTAGGCAGCACTTGTTATTAAGGTTTTCAATTCCTCATTAGCTAAATGTCTTTTTTCATCAGGCTAATATGTAAATAATTGAATCTATAACTTAATTTTGTGGCCACGGGGGTGATGTAAATCTTAGAATAATATTGTTTTATGAATAAAACATTTAAATTAAACCTGATGAAGAAAACTGGCATACTTATTGAGGATGTAAAGAAATTTAACAAAATTTAAAAAACAGGCTACCAATGTTACTTTTATTTTAAATAAGATTCAATCTATTAAATAAAGTAATTTGACACAGACTCCTTAACCAAAAATTTTAGGTCTGGGATAAAATTCCAATCTAATCCCTGATGCAATGACGACATGAGGCTGATGGTGAGAAAGACCTCATCATGTGTATGACCTTTAGCTTCTTGGAGATAACATGAAATATAACTATCATCAATACATTAAACATTATGCTTTCCTAATTCCCCAGGGTACATAATTTCTAAATTGCTTTTCTAGCAATCGAAACAGAACTAAAGACTAAAAGCAGAATTAAAGACTCTGCCTTCCATGAACCTATTTAATTTGGAGCTTGTCACCCTCTCTCAGTCCAACTCACCTCACAGGCTGGTTGTTATGAGAAAATAGGAGATGGGAGAAGTAAATAAATAAATAAATAAATAATCCTGCATAACTCCTAAATTTAAGTTACATCTGCTTTCAGTTGAAGGGCACTTGGACTTGAATGACATAATGGGCAGTCACACACCAAAAAGATTTATTGAAGTCAAACCAGATATTAAATATGATTTATTCCACTCACAGGCAAGCTTAAAATTACATATTTAAGTAATGTTATATATTTTAATAAATATTAATGAACAGGGGTGGGATTCTACAGGTTCGCACCTATTCGCTAGAACAGGTTGTTTACATTCTAAGCAGTTCAGAGAACCAGTTGTTAGAAGAAATTACTGGCCTAATCCTGTAAGGAAGGCAGGAAGGAAACATTCTGGTGTTGCTTACAGAAACTGCCTCTCTGTTAACCCTTATTACATTCTTGGCAGGACTAGACTTCCTGTCTCAGGAATGTCTCTGGAGTTTTCCCCCCTGCTTTGCTAGTACTTTGCTTGTGTGGAGTAACCATTCAAAGTTACAGTGGCACTGAAAAAAGTGACTTATGACCATTTTTCACACTTATGACTGTTGTAGCATCCCCACAGTCACGAGAGGCCAGGCGAGGAGATGCGTGCCTTGATGTGAGTGATATTGAGTTGGCCACACACCCAGCCAATAACATGACCACCAAGCCATGTCCACCCAGTCACATGACCACCAAGCCACACCTACAACTTAAGCCATGCCCACAGAACCGGTTGTTAAAAAATTTGAATCCCACCCCTATTAATGAATATCTTCCAGTCACACATTTGATAATTTTTGTTATGATTAAAATTACAGTTTAACAGCTTTTGACAATCTCTGAGTGCCATTGCCTATTGGCAGGTGGGGGCGGGGGAACACACATGGTCTTGATCTTTCTTTCAGTAGTACTTTCCTTTGCATTAGAATCTATTACTTCAGGCAGGAGTTCCTGTAGGACAGAATACTTACAAAGAGAAGAGGGAACTGTGAGGCCTGGGTACCTGTCCTAGCCTTGTTGATCCTATATGCTGCTAAAACACCATTACCTCAAAAATGAGCAAGGTTCTCTGAAAGGAATGGAGAAATTCCATTGCGTGCTTTGGTTCAGCTACTGGAATATCTTGGGGCAGCTTTGATTTAACTGACCAGAAGCAATGCCGAAAGGCATTTTTGAACCATGAACTGGGATTATTTTATAAGGACTATAGTGCAGGGGTGTCCAACCTTGGCAACATCGAGACTTGTGAACTTCAACCATGGCTGGCTGAAGAATTCCGAGGGATGAAATCCGTAAGTCTTAAAGTTGTCAAGGTTGGACACCTCTGCTCAAGTTTATAATCTTACTAGGGAGTTCAGTGGGATTTATTGCTTAAAGGATGGAACATTTGCTTACATTCTTACTGTAGTTTCAAATAATACAATACTCTCTGCACCAACACTGATAATTTACAAATTGGCCCAAATTGCCTTGTTGCTATTTTTGCCATTAGACAAATGACTAAAATTTTATTTAGCCATTGCTCCACCCTGGCATGGCTTAATAGGCTAGGCTAGAAAAATGAATGCCTATCATAAGAACTAAACTTTAGAGAGCTTTCATCTAGAATTTGTCTATAGATTTGGATAATAGCAAAGTATGGTGTCAGGGTTTCACTGCAAGCTTCACTTATTAACACTTACTTTTCATAGGTCACGTGTGTTACTAAAAAAAACAAATGCCATAGACAGACAATGATTCCAGCTGACAATGACTTATCTAGATCTTTCGCTGATACTTATAGCAATTGTTTTTTTTTAAATGTACAAAATAAAAACTGAACTGCCACAGCTGAGGTTCCAGCATGCCATTTAGGAGATTGTAGGATTTGAAATCCAACAAATATGTGTGGTGCTTAGTTGATGAAAGGTGTGATAAACCAGTTAATTGATTTTTGATTAAATGTGTGCTATAAAGTCAGATTTGAGTCTTAGCAACTACACAGACTAGTTTCTCCAGGAAATATAATTACAGTAGTTAGTTGTAAAAAGCACCAAGATAATGCTACACACTTGATTCTGAAATCATATCAATAATATTTAATTCAATTATAATTTAAATTCAATTATATTTAATAACTTATACTAAACCTTACAAATGCTTAACAATTTTTATTTTTTTCTTTGATTCCCCTCCTCTATAAATGATTGCAGAAAAGAATTCCTGATACAGAATGATCACTCAGGCTAGGTTTGTTTTTCTCTTATCTCAATCCTTTCAGAGTTATCCAATGAACTTACCACTCACTGCTGTAGTTAGGCCTTTCTGTTTGTCTGATTTTATGTACCTCCAAATAAACTAGCAGTTCTTATTTTGCCAGGGAATGAATTTAGCCTTAAGTTTCTCCAGTTCTATCCTTTCCCTTTCCCTATCAGTGCTTTTTAACAGTTTTTTTTTTTGATATGCATGCTTTTAAGCAATCTTATGGGCTTTGCAAAGCAAAACTGTATTGGTAAGTCATAGATAAAATTTCTTTTTTTCATTTGCAAGGGGAGAATAATCATTTTAGTGTCACACATGATCATGCTAAAATAAGTGGCTTTGCTCCTGATATACCGTATTTCAGCTCAGCCTGGCTGCATATAATTTAAGTCGCTCCCCATTTTATTGCAGGATTCAGATTCAATCTGCTTTCATTATTAACAGCAAAATCCTTACATGTGAGACTGGCATTTCTTTTTAAAGAAACCTGTGCAAACATGTTAGCTTATGCAGATTCCTAAGCAAGGAGTCGCTCCTATCAACTTGGCAATGAAATCGGGCTCTTACCCTGTGACAATTTCAAAGGGTGGCAATTCTTCCAGTTCCTTCGGCTTTTCTGCCTCCGCAGATTCCTCTGCATTTTCAGCCTTTCCACCATTCTGGGCTACTGGAGGTTGTTCCTGCTTCTCAGACATCCTGTTGTACTGTAGTGGGTGCCCAAAGACCACAGCAGCGGCCAAGAACTGGGCACAGGCTTCAGAAGCAGAAATGGAGCAGGGAGGGAGGCAGAGAGCTGGAAATGGCAGTTCTCAGGAGCTATATATGGAATGGGTGCAGTGGCAGAGATGGGAATAGGCTAGGATGACCCCTAGCACTCTCGGATATCATCTCCTTCACTTTTAACTCTGGCCTGAGACATTCTTTTGCTCCCCCTTCATTTTAAATATGAAGTGATGAGTGGAGCGTGGGTGGATTAGGTAATGGAAGGATGCAAAAGCAACCTATTTATCCATAGCCATGACAGAAATCTGACACGGTACAGAAGAGCTGGCCGCTCTCCTATGCTCTTGGACTTACTGAGATGCCTTCTTCCTACCCTTGAAGGGACCACCTTCCAGAGGTGCCAAAAAGAGGCAGGTAGCTTTGTTAAAAAGAATGCTCCTGATTTTATTAGGTGGAACTGAAATAAAATATCAGAAGGTTGGGTTGTTGTTGTTGTTTTACTCAAACCTGAATTTTGTTCCTGACATAAAAGTGAGAGCTTTAAAAAGCCTTACTTCCTAGGCAGATATATTGAAAAGCACAGACTGAAAGTATTTCAGGTGAAAGTATTGCACTATTATCTGAACCTAATTGATTTCAGTTTTCCTCACCTCCTTAGGCAGCTGACAGAAAACCTGTTGGACACAGTTTGACTTTCATTGAAGATTTAAGAATGCTATTATAAAAGCCTTCCAATGCTCAGCTGGCTTTTTCCTTTGTGACTTACAGTCAATCTGGCAGTGTGAATATTGTGCTCAGCTGGAATTCCAAGCTAAGGGACCAGCACCAACTGCTATTATCTTGAGGCAAGGTATTAAAATAAGAAAAAGAATGTGAAAATGAATGTGGAAATGTGAAAAATCTAACTAGATGAGGTATGAAATTGATTCTGCTTGAGATATGGGATGTGCCATGGAATTTTGCAGCTGACTTATAAGAAGTAAAACTGGTTCCTTCTCTGAACTGCAGTTGGTGCTGGTGCAAGGAAATGGAAGTGCACTGACTTTTTTTATTAGAGCATTTAAGAAATATACTGCAATGAATATACATTATTCATATTCACTCAGCCATATTATTTTGGAAATAATTGTTTACTGAGACATGCAAGATAGAAGCTAAAGTATGGCAGATAATCTTGTACTTTGTACTCACTTTTACAACCTTTAAAAATTATTATTATTATAGCAACACTGCTTAGATGGTTGACATACTGTTATACATTGATACATCCCATGATTCTCAATTATTTCTGATAAATACCTATTCTATAGAAAGGCAATTTGAAAAAATAAGCACACCACAAAGCACTCAACAAGCATATTTGTAAAAGGTATACACTTGCAAATATATATTAGCCACATTGACAATTAGAATTTTTGTGTAACTTACAAATATAATATGTGATGTGAATTTAAAACTAGTGACATTTTTTCCACTTCATCTTATGAAAGATGAGGCACTTTTCTTTTGGTGATTCTTTTTCATTCTGCAGCTCTTTCAGAATTGAATATTTGAAAACAGTATCCAGAATGGTTGCAAATATAGCACAAATGGCTATATTAGAGAGAACGGGGAACAGTGAAATATCCTGTCTTGTAAAATTAAAAGTAGATTTTTAAAAACAAAAATAATAATCCAATAAGCCTTTGTAAGCACATTTCAGCCTATCTAGCTCAAGTTTTTTTTTCTAAATGAAATGTTTTATTTTTTTTCTTCAGTTTTTCTGTTTAATTTTCTGTTTAATACTTACAAAATGACTGCCAATGTTCAAGCTTCAGAATTATTTAGCAGAATTTCCACTGTACCAGCACAAGTAGTACCAGGACTTGATTGTTGGGATGTGTAGAACGGTCCTGGTGCATTTGGTAAATTGCATTGCTGGTGTGGGTTTTGTTATAAAAACTGGTAAGAACAAATGCTAGGTATATACCTGTAGATAGCAACCATCTATATATATATATATATTGCAGCGTAACCCATTCAAGGTCTACATTGGACCATAACTCCCATAATCCTAAGCCAGGTAGCTGGGGATCACGATATTGGTTGTACCAAAAATCTAAAGGGCACTCTTTGATTTTATCTTATTAGGAAAAGTATTTTTTGTTTATTTTTTAAAAATAATATGAAAAACTTTTGGCACAAAGTTTTATTGTTTTTTCCCTTCAGTGTTAACTTATGTTTAAATTCCAGTATCCCAAAGCTATGACTGTCACATTTGACATTTTACAGAGGAATTATAGGGATGGGAATCCTGAGCTGCTGAGTGATACTCTTCCCCACCCCTTCTTGTGTCCTTCTGGCCCGCTTTATTTTTGGAAACTCTTGACTGCTGGATTAATCAGGGTCCCATCATTCTTACTGCTTTAACTTTCACGGGAGCCAGCCAAGCCTTGCAGATCAATGTTCAGCTTTAATCTTATCTCTGGAATGTAGATCTGGGCTAGAAGTTTTCTTTCCTCAGCTGTTGCTGAGCTCCTTTTAGGGCAGAACTCGGCATTTGTACAGACTGACCACCAAGGGCTCTGCCATAGAGCAGCCACAGATGTTACGTAGCGATGCTAAGCTTTGCAGATCAAATGGTTTATTTGATTCTATACAAACACAAAGCTAAGCTTATTTGCAGACATAAAAGGGTGCATGTGCACACATACCGCACCCTTCTACCCCTTCCCCCCAGCAATCTATTAGAAATAGAAAGAATTGCGAAACAAAATTAGGTGATTCATCTTATGCCTGGTATAAAAAAAGATTGTGTAAGATTGTGCCCATTGTGTAAGAAAGTATGTTATTTCCCCCCAAACCAGAATGGGGAAAGTATAACAAGAAGCAGAATTCTGGATTTTCCTAGCCCAGTTATAATTAAGAAAGTCTCTTGATTGAAGATGTGGAAAACTGTAACATGTCATTGTTAGCCACAGTTTGATCCAATGTGAGGCAACTGCCTATGAAAACGTTAGGGCAGTGGTGGCTCACCTTTTTCAGCTTCCATGCCGAAAATTGTGCACACTCGCGCACACGCACTCACGTGCCAGCACCCAGAAGGCAATGCGTGCGGGGGGCCCCCATGCCCCTGCGTATGCATATGCATCTCTGCGCATGTGCATGCGACCCCCCTGTGCACCACGCATCTCTGTGCATGCGTGCATGATCCCCCTGCATGTGCTGCACATCTATGCGCATGCATCTCCCACGCACCCCGGCACATGTGCGCCAGATACCCAACAAGCAGATGTCAGGTGCGTGGCATGCACACATGCACAGTAATGCTCTTCCAGGAAACCTCTTGCGTGCCGGCAGAAGTGGCTCTGCCATAGGTTTGCCATCACGGCCTTAGGGAAATTGATGTTCTCAGTATGGCTCTACAAGCCATTTGTTAAAATAGTGGTGATCCTTATGCAAAACTGTCTTCTATAAACTGGCATTCTCTAGATGTGACAGACTTCAATTCCCATAATCCCTTACAAATCATTGGCTATGCTAGATAGGGATTATGAGAGGCTGAAGTCTAGATATCGAGAGCTAGAGGATATAGAAACAGCTGATAAAAGTTTTCCCCCCTAGGAAATACATATGAGACAATATACTTAGGTGTTCCATATTCTGAATATGCAGTAACATCCACATTGGATAACTTATCAGCTTTAATAATTGGGAAATTTAATTTATGTTAGGGCTGCTTTGATATATAAATAAACAGTGTTTAAAAAGAATGGTTGCAATAATTTTCTATAACATACCTTTAATGTCCCCATTTTTTAAAAAAAATTCATCATTTTTATAAATTCAATTTGACATGAGTCATTTTTTCTATGACAGTTCAAATGTCACCCTGACACACATGTCTGACCCAGTTATGTCCAATATTATTCAGTACTTCTATATTGCCCTGCCAAAATTGTCCTGCAATCTGTCAAGTTTATTTAAAAAATGCAGGGATTCTTATTCTTTTTAATGTTCAAACATATTAAAACAGTAACAATCTTAATTTCTACTACTTATAAGGCTGGTCAATCACAATTTATGATCCTAACTCCACCCAGTATGATTAAAGCTAGCTTTTATCTCATTGTCTTATAAATATTGTGCAGCAGTCAAAATTGCCTTGGCTCTATCCATTGACCGCTCTCCTTAAAATTATGTTTTTGTTTAGGATCTTTTGTCGATCAATTGTTTAAGGGATGCTTTGTTGGGTTGTGTGCCTATGTTAGCATTGCTAGATTTCCAGCAACCTACCTAGGTTATTTTCTAATTATAAAGAACTCTAAAGAGCAACAGCCTCACTGGTACAGGATCAGAAAATACTTAGCTGGCCAAAGGCAAAAGTGAAATAAGACACCGTATCATGCAGAGATGAGGTGTGCTCTTTAGAATAAAAGGGACAGCTGGTTATCAAAATAAAACGTATCCCTGGATATGTTGTATGGCAGTAATTCCAAAGCTTCACTGTCCCTTTCTGTGTAACTATTGCAAAGCAATAAACAATGAAATAGTAAAGGGGGAGAGAATGTCCTTTGTTTTTCCAGCTTCATAGGCCATAGCATCTCTCTGCCCCACTCCTAATTCTTGGGAATTTTTCCAGGAGTGTCAGGGATAAATTGATAAAATTTCATAGCTGTGTCTGCATTTGGTCCCTATTGTAGAACCATGCTCATCATGGAGTAGCAGCAACATGGGGAGGGGGGAAAAATCAAGGGGAGAGATGCTCATGTCATATGATAGCTTGCATTGTCTTTCTAGAATTAGTTGGATTTTTTCCCCGTACTTATCAGCATCCTTAATAAGATTTTCAGAATGCAAGGACACCTGTAGGAGATGAAAGCATGAGTTAATTCAATAGAGTCTATTGCAATAAATATGCTTGAATAATTTAATAGCTAGATATATTTTATAAATGGGTGTAAACTTAGATAACCCATTTATTTTATGGAAATCAAAGAGTTCTGGGACATAAGTTTTGGCTAGGCAATTCTGTGGGACATGAGAATGGGAAGTAGCAATTTACCATTCATCATACTTCCCATTCCTGCTTGTTTGAGATTTCCATAACTAAAGTTTCAGAAAGTAAATGCTATTGCATAGA